AACCTTCCTTCCGAGGAGTGGCTGGTGGGTTTGAACCGCCAGCCGTCTGGTTAGCAGGCAAGTGTCTTAGCCACTATGCTACCAGAGCTCCCTAGAGAACCCAATCTAACACAGGTATATAGCTCAGTTTGGTATTTATAAAGGTATATTTCCTATTAGAGTTTAATTATCTTAATTTACTCTTACACCTTGGATTTTCCATGTTATATAGTAAACCACAAGGAAAGAGCATAATAGTAGCCAGCTTAGTATTATTTATCATTTTTATGAGGGTTGAATCTTGTTTTTCTTGCACAATATTGTATTCCCACTGCAGAATAAGTATTTATTGGCTCAAGGAATGAGTGGACAGGTGAGAAATTAAGCCAACAACAAAGTTTTAGGCATTGTAAATCCAAATCATGTTTTAATAGAAATTTTATCAGTATCACTTTTCTCTTTTGTATACTGAGGTTTCTGTAAGATCATTTAATCATAGATTTTAGTTACTTAAGGGGAAAAAAAAAGTAAAATAACGAAGAAAACTGGCCTTGAAGTCAGTGGGCCTGGCTTTGAATCCCAATTCCTCAATGTGTTAGCTGTGTGAACATCTATTTACTCCTTTATAAAACCTAGATGATATTGAGATAAAATAGAAAGTACCTAATATTTAAAGGTTAGGTGATTCCAACTCTTAATAAGGATGTTGTGTTGTTAAGTGTCATTTCTAACTCATAGCAACAACAGAATGAAACATTGTTGCCTGGTTCTGTACCAACATTACACTTGCTGCTGTATGTGAGCCCATTGTTGCAGCCAATGTGCCAATCCATCTTATTGAGAGTCTTGCTCTTTTTCAGTGACCCTCTACTTCATCAAGCATGATATCCTTCTCCAAGGACTGGTTCTTCCTGATAACATGTCCAAAGTTTGTGAGACAAAGTCTTGCTATCCTTGCTTCTAAGGAGGAGTGACTGTGATAGTAAGTTACACTGTGATGACCGCAGCAGGTTAAATAAGAAATACACCATTTTATAAAAATAAATTTTTATTCATACAATAATTGTAAAAATGACATAAGCAATCACAGAAAGCCAAAATTGTACATAGGATAGTGTTATTTTTGTAAATAAGATAAATTTTATTGAATTTATTAAAAATACATTTCCTAGATTCTTGACCAAGAAGATCTCATTCCAATATTTACTAAAGTAAAGTTTTTCTGAAAAACTAAACAGAGTCTTGCCTATATTGGAGTGTCATACCTAAGAGCAGTAGCTGACCTACATAGCTTCAACTTTAATTCTAGTAGTCCTGGGGTGAAAATTTGTTATATTGGAACAGTTGCATAGATCACAGATAGTTAATGTCTGAGTTTTTAATATGTACTGTTTGGTGTGTGTGTATGGAGGGTTACTGAAAAAAAAAAATTAGACTTTTAAAATAATAACATTCTATAAATAGTAGTCTATCCCTAGAGAATACAATATCCAGTATCTTTCCAATCCGTGAAATTTTGTTACTTCCTCATCAACTATGCTGTAAATTTATATGTATAATTTAGCTTGAATTTTATAAGGTCTAGATGTGTTCAGTGTTGAGCAGTACAATGAATACCTTAAAGAGCTTTAGTAATAACAAACAGAATTTAATTAAGGTGGTTTTTTTACCATCTTGGAATATAATGATTTCCTCTCTTTATTCACATAGTTTTGAGAGGTATTTGCAATGGACAAAACTATCAGTAAATGTATGGGAAAAGTGAAAAGTTTTTAATGCCATGTTTTAGCAATGAAAACACTAATTTTTGTAAATCACCTGAACAATATTCATCACAGTGATGGGTATGTCATAGCCATATGTAACAGCAAAAACTTTACTTTAGGTAAAATATGGAATGTACTAACAAACATTTCATGCAATGCAGTACTTCATTGTGATTAAGAATATGCATCATATCTCTTATATACAACTCAACCGTCATAGAATTATCTTATACTAGTGAATACCGAACAAGATTTTTTCTGAAGTAGAATATTGAAATAGTGACTTTGTGACTTTTTTTTTCATAATTTAAGCACCTACAGTAATTTTGTGTTATTGGGTTAATTTGTTTTTTATAAATTCTAAACTTTATTATATATAGTATTAGTTTACAGCATTTGTATCTAAAAACAAATGTGAAATAAAAATGTGTATATCTCTAAAGAAAAAAAAAAGAATAGCCACAAAATTATGCTCTCTTCACTCTTGGTGAAAATACCTACTTCAGAGAATCCTATACTGTACAATAACAGTTATAACAGAATATAAAGAAACAATTATGTTAGCATACCTAGCCTTAATTATAATAATGTCACCAACAGTTTTGTCTTTTTAAGGTTTTGCAAAATTTATATATCTTATAACTATCTTGGGATTTTATTTCCCTTAGGCCCAACAAAATAGTGTAAATAATTAACAATAATTACGATTATTTGACTTTAAAGAACAAATTTAGGAGATTGGAGTATTACATCATAATGTTAACAAAAACACATTAACAGCATATGAAATATAAACTGGATTTTAAAAATAACATAATTTTATAGTAACGTGTGTTTACCACAATAGTGAACCACTGCAGTAGGTGGCATCATTACAACTCTTGCCCAGCAGCCAACTGCAGCCATGATTTTTGCAGTGTGTTTTCTTCAAAGATCAGACAGGAAGCATCATTCCTAAGACTGCACTAGGACCTGGTAGACAAAACTTCCTATATACATCTAGTCACTTATTTCAGCCGAAAAAGCAGATAGGTGTTACTTAATTTGTCATTTGGGTAGGGGAGTATTAAGGTCACAGCTAATTTTTAAAATATATGGAGCTCTGGTGGTGGTGTGCCTAAGGCATTTGACTGCTAACCAAAAGACTAGCTGTTCAAACCCACCAGCATTCCTTGGAAGGAAGATTGGGCAATCTACTTCCATAGAGATACTGACTTGGAAACCCAAGGGGGGATCACTATGAGTCAGATCTGACTTGACGGCAATGAGTTTGGTTTGGTTTGGATATACATTAAAAATATCCCCACTATTTCACTCATTAGACATGTTCATAGTTTACACAAATAGCCAGTTTGGATTTCCTGTCACTTTAAGCAAACCGGAATTTACTTATATTTCAAAATTGGGTACAAAGGATTATTTTGCAAGTACCTTTATATTTTAAGAGTCTTCTTTTGGTGCTCAACTCCAAACAAAATATTTTATGCAAAAACAGCTTGGCAGTAGATGCCTATAAAACCATGTTTAGATGAAGAATTTCAGAAATTTTATCAAAATGTAAATTTTTCTGTCATGTAAATATTTGGATGAATTTCTGTGGTTGAATATGTTATATTTATAAGAGTCAGCATCATTCTGAAAAGCAGCACTTCATTTTGTTGTTTGTATTCCTGAGTAATATATGCAACATAACATACATTACAGAGACCAAATAAATCAAAGTAACAATTAAATCTTAGCATTTAGTGGCATATTAAGGAAACTCCATCAAAATTTGGTTTCTAAAAGAAACCATAAAGTTAAGTTTAATTTAATCTCTTTTCTGTTCCAGAGAAGCATCTTTAGTTCAATAAAATGTCTTGACAAAATAAGCCTGGAATCTTAGGGAACAGTTCTCCTACCAAATGAATTAAGGCATAGTGTCTCAGGACATTGTGTCATAGCAAATACTTCCTCAATGCCTGCCTTGTCTAAGTACAAATTAGCAACTAAAAATATTTGTAGCTTGTCTAAGAACATAGAGCATATGTTCCGTATTCATCAACCAAATGATTGAGCTATCCAAAAAGATTTCCTCTTTGACATTAGTAATCATGGAGAAGAGTTTTTAAACAATTATACTTTCCAAATTGTTTAAGCAAACCAACAAAAATAATAAACAGATACTTTAATTTCTCTAGGATAATATTATGAAACTTAGAAGTTCTTTTAGCCCTTGATATTGAAAAACTTCTAAATGCTTAATATTGGCCCAGAAGAAAGTGGTCATCTTCAATGTACATTATTTGCATCATTGATTACTTTGCAGATGGCAAAGACATGTACTTTCAAAGGGTGAGCACAATGTTTGGGTTAGGAGCAGAGATCCTGAGATCAGACTACCTAATTGAGTCTCAGCTCTACCACTTACTAGCAGTGTGACTGGGGCTGAATTACTTCATCTGTTTGTGCCTCAGTTTCCTCATAATTGTATCAAATAAATTACAGCATGATTGGCATGCAGTTAAGTATTCAAATGTTAGACATTATTACTGTCATTTTATTAATTTTGTTTTTCTTTTGGTTCAAAAGTTATGTTAAAGAGAGATTCTACATTAAAGACTTCTAGGATCTCTGGTGGCTTAGTGCCTAAGGCATTTGACTGCTAATCAGAAGGCTGGCAGTTCAAACCACCCAGTCATTCTCCGAAGGAAGGTTGGGCAATCTACTTCTGTAGTGATACTGCCTTGGAAACCCAAGGAGGGGTCGCTATGAGTCAGATCCAACTCAATGGCAGTGCACAACAACAATGCTATTAATTTTATCAATTCTATTCTCATGTGTATTTAGTATCCTCCCTGGTTTATACACATCTATGTATAATGTATATATATCATTATATAGATAGATAGTCCATATAATGTGTATATGTGTATATACATGAGAGAGAAAAAGAATAAAATATTTGAGGTAAAATAATACCATACAGTAAATTAAAAAACCTTATCCTTAGAAACAAACTTTCATGATGATAAAAGGTCACATGTAGTCTTTCAAAAGATATCCACTTTTAAGTAATTGTGGTTTGGAGCTTGGACTTTGTTGCTCTTTCTCCTGATTTAGATTTTCCTTCAACATGTATTCTTAATACATTCATGAAATAATCTTATTAGGAAACACCATCTTCCTTAAAACCTGATATAGTATCAATTCATGTAGCTTTGAGGTTTCTTGCTTCCTGGGCCAATTTTTGTTGTAATGTCAGTTTTACGAGGTAGTCAGTCATCAGCTTGTCAGAAAATAAAAGTCAAAGGCTTATTTTCTTAAGCATAAGTCATCTTCCCAAGGTACTTAGCAGGCACGTATCCTTTCTGTCCTTGAGCTTCAGCTAACCACCACTCTTTATTTCCACTCAGGTCACAAAATCTAAGTATATGGACTCTTTGGTATTCCTGAAGGCTGAGTTCATGGTCACTCCGTGCTTGAAAGGCATGAACAGCATAGAAAATCTAGACAAAGAAACATAACATTGGAACAAAAACCTAAAAATTTAGACAAACATAAAAAGATTTCCAAGTTTTTAGAAGCGATGCTGAAGTTTTATTTTATCAAAGCCACATAGCCCAACTTCTATCAGATTTATTTTGCAAAAGTATGGCTCAGAAGAGAGTAGACTGAAATAGTCATTCTTATATCTTGTTCGGAGGAGTCTCGACTGTTTGAAGGCAATTTGGCAATTCCTATTAAAAATATATTTTTGTAAGATTAATTCCTTTTGAGTCAATAATAGTTCTCAGAATCTCTTCTACAGAAATAAAAACATTTTTTGACAGAGTTTTGTACAAAAATATCACAGCTAAACCCATTTGTGAAGTGAAAACTGGAGACAGGGACCGTAACAGTAAAAATTCACCAAGAGAAGAACAGTTATATAATAGATCATCATTCTGTAGAAACTTGTAACTATACACAAAAAAATAGTATTTTCTAAGACTAATAACATGAGCAAGTGCTTAAGAAAAAATATTAATCACAGAACAAATACAGGATACAATATTAGTATGACATTATGAAATAAGTTCAGTGAGTGGTGAGGTATAGTTGATTTTTCATTTTATTTAGTTGTTCTTTTCCTTATTTTCCAAATTTATATAATGATAATGTATTAAATTTATAATTTTAAAAGTTATCTTATGTGACTAAAAAAAATAATAGAACATATTTCAGTCAAAAGTATTTTTCTCTAACCTCAAAAGAACAATTCATAATCATAAGAAGACCCAAAATAAGTGTTTTATCCTTCTTTCCTTAATATCTTAAGACTGGTCACCAGCCACTCCTCAGAGGGAAGACTGGGCAATATACTTCTGTAGTGATACTGCCTCAGAAACCCAATGAAGGATTACTATGAGTCGGATCCGACTTGACAGCAGTGAGTTTGGTTTTGGTTTTATGGGATAAAATTAATCAATGGACTAATCATATTTGGGAGCTCTGATGGCGTAGTGCCTAAGGCATGTGACTGCAAACCAGAAGGCTGGTGGTTCAAACCCACCAACCACTCCTCAGAAGGATGATTGTGCAATCTACTTCCACAGTGATGCCGCCACACAAACCCAAGGAGGGGTTGATATGAGTCAGATCTGACTCAATGGCAGTGAGTTTGGTTTTCAGTTTAATCATATTTATTCTTTCACTCACTTGATCAAAATGTATTAAATATCTACTAAGAATCAGATATTATGCTATCAAGGAACTTAATAAATAACCTAGGGAAATAAATCCAAAAAAGGAAAGAAACTCTACACATACAGATGATATTGTTGTTAGGTGCCATAGAGTCAGTTCCAACTCATAGTGACCCTATGTACAACAAAACTAAACAGTGCCTGTTCCTGTGCTATCACACAGTCATTGCTGATTGAGTCCATTGTTGCAGCCACTGTATCAATCTGTCTCACAAGAGTCTTCCTGTCTTTCAATGGCCCTCTACTATACCAAGTATGGGAGCTCTGGTAGCATAGTGCCTAAGGCGCTTGACTGCTAACCAGAAGGCTGGCAGTTCAAACCCACCAGCCACTCCTTGGAAGGAAGGTTGGGCAATCTACTTCCATAGTGATACTGCCTCGGAAACCCAAGGAGGGATCGCTATGAGTCGGGTCCGACTCAATAACAACAACATACCAAGTATGATGTCTTCCTCCAAGGAATGGTCCCTCCTGATAACACATCCTGATAACACATCCAAGTAAGTCAGATGAAGTCTCACTATATTAGGTTCTAAGGAGCATTCACTAGTCTGCCATCTTATTGTACTGTGGTGGCTTGCATGTTGCTGTGAGGCTACACTGTTGATATTTCAAATACCAGCAGGGTCACCCATGGTGCACAGGGTTCAGCAGAGCTTCCAGACTAAGACAGACCAGGAAGAAGGATGGGGCCATCCTGTTCTGAAAAAAATTGGCCACTGAAAACCCTATGAATAGCAGTGAAATACTGTCTCACATAGCAGAAGATGAACCCCTCAGGTTGGAAGCCAGTCAAAATACAACTGCAGAAGTGCTGCCTCCTCAAAGTAGCGTCAACTTAAATGACGTGGATGGAGTAAAGCTTTTGGGACCCACATTTGCTGGTAGGGCACAACTCAAAATGGGAAGAAACAGAGCTGCAAGCATTCATTAATAGAGTGTGGAATGTGTGAAGTATGAATTTAGGAAAATCGGAAATTGTAAAAAATGAAACAGAACTCATAAAGATCTGTATGGTAGGTATTAGCTGGTTGAAATGGACTGGTATTGGCCACTTTGAATCAGACACTCATATGGTCTACTATGCCAAGAATGACAAATTGAAGAGGAATGGTGTCACTTGCATTGCCAAAAAGAACACTTCAAGATCTATCCTGAAGTACAGTGTTGCCAGTGATACGATCATATCTACACACCTAAAAGGAAGACTACTTAATACTACTATTATTCAATTTTATGCACCAACCACTAAAGCCATAGGTGTACAAATTGAAGGTTTTTACCAACTTCTGCAGTCTAAAATTTACCAAACATGCAATCAAGATGTATTGATTATTACCGGTGATTGGAATGCAAAGGTTGGAAACAAAGAAGAATCATTGGTAGTTTGAAAATATAGCCTCAGTGATAGAAATGACATGGGAGATCACACGTTAGAATTTTGCAAGACCAATAACTTATTCATTGCAAATATCTTCTTTTTACAACATAAATGATGACTCTACACATGGATCTCCCCAGATGGAATACACAGGAATCAAATCGACTACATCTCTGAAAAGAGGTGATGGAGAAGCTCAATATCATCAGTCAGAACAAGTCCAGGAGCTGAATGTGGAATTGATCATCAACTGCTCATATGCAAGTTCCAGTAGAAGCTGAAGAAAATTAAAACAAGTCCACAGGAGGCAAAATATGACCTAGATTATATTCCACCTGAATTTAGAGACCATCTGAACAACAGATTTGATGCATTGAACACCAATGACTGAAGAAGAGTCAATTGTGGGATGACATCAACAACATCATCCATGAAGAAAGCAAAGATCATAAAAAGGCAGGAAAGAAAGAAAAGACCAAAATTGTTGTCAGAGGAGACTCTGAAAACTTGTCCTTGAATGTACTATAGCTAAAGCAAACGGAAGAGAGTTTGGAAGATGGTGTTGGACCTGTAGCCCACACGTATGTTCCCTCTAGCATCTTAATGCCTGAAAAACTAGGTGCAGCAGTTTGAAGCAGGGATTCTGGGGCTGTCAACAGCTTATTACATTGGAGAAGGCCAGATTTAGTAGAGATGGAGGGAAAAGAAAGGTAGAGGCAGGGTAAACAGCTGAGAAGAATAAAAATAAATGAACCTGCCTTGCAGCATGTGAGACTGAGATGGAGCAACAGAGAACTCTCTAAGCAGTGAAGTGGGAACACTGGGAATCCAATGGTGGCTTTGGAGACTAAGACTGCCCACAGCAGCGGCTTCTGACAGTAACCTTGGGAACTGAGCTGAGTGGGTGGACAGGGTTTCTGAGAAATAGAGTATAGATTCCTCTGGCTCAGGTTGCTGCTGAGTTGGGGGCAGAAAGGGAGAACTCAGGAAACACACTGCAGGTAGGTGGGCCCTGGGATAAGCTCATGGTGTGGGGCTGTGATCCAGCTGTTCTAGGACAGCTTTTTAGCACAAAGGGGTCCAGAGTACAGGGTTTTTAGGGCTGTCTGACACAGGTGGAAAGTAGCAGCCCCCTAACCAAAGGGATCTTTGCTGATTTTGTACCATGGGACTGTGAGTGACAATATAACATCGTCATTGGCAAACGACCCAAGCAGACTCAAAACAAAACCCCGAAACCAGCACTAACCACAGAAATATGGAGAGTGGGGATATGCTACTGTCCCCTTGGAGTTTTTTTTTTTTTTTCTTTTCTTCCTTTTTCTCCTTCTCCCCTGCCTCACCCAATAAAAGGACCACATTAAGGCACCACAACATCTGCTTGTCCCAACTCTAAATCCCCTTCATGACAAACAGATACCTGCATCCACATTCCCCACAGTGATTGAATCAATACAAAGAAAACTTCAGAGCAACACAGCACACCTGAATTAATAACCAAAATAAAATAAAATACACCAGCTCCACCCTTGCAAAAATATTTAAACATAAAATCAAGGCAAAACATATCAATACATAACTAACAGTTAAAGACAACAACTTCAAAATGTCTAGGAAACAACAGGCAACTTCAAATCAAACAAAACAAAGGGTAACACAACAGAAATAAAATCCCAAACAAAAATCTCATTAAACATGTAGGAAGAGGAGGTAATAGAATTATCCAAGAAGGAATTTAGAAGATATGTTTGTAAAACTCTACAAGAGCTTAAGGAAACTTCAAACAGAACCAAGGAGAACATCGACAGTACCCTGGAAGAACTCAGGAAAAACATTCAAGAACAAAATAACAAGATTAATACACAATAAGAATACAAAAACAGCAGTTAGAAATCCAGAAGATGAATACTAAAATTACACAACATGGTAGAAGCACAGAAGAATTGGCTAGAACTGGCTGAATAACACATTTCCCAACTAGAAGATAAATCCCTTGATACCAGCATGTACAAAGAAAAATAAGAACAAAGATTTCAGAGAAATGAAGAGAACCTAAGAGTTTTATAGGATGACATGAAAAGAACAACATATGCCTCATTGGAATACCAGAACAAGAAGAAGTTAAAAAAAAAAAAAAAAAGAAAGAAAATTGTGGAAGACTTGCTAACAGAAAATTTCCCCCATAT